CACTTGAAGATAAGTAACTATAAAAATAATATTTGAGTGTGCCAGGGGCTGAGTATATTTTGTCTACATGTTGCTTGTCAGGTTTAGACATCAGACTATTAAAATTACTTCTCTGTGAAGAAAATCAACAGCTATTTCTTAAATATTTTTCCCTTGCATTTTTTGTCATATGGTATTTGTAAGGATCAATAAATATGTTTTGTTGTGTCTCTCGTTAAGCAGCTGTCTGCAGCAAACATGCCATGTATTTGAAATAGCCTGAAGTTAAGAGATCTGCTTGTAGTGCCTCTGTTTTAGATGGTTTCTTTTCATTGAGTCAGTATCTAATAACCAATAAATAAATTGGAGATCTAGTTAACTAAATTAATCAGAACACAGAGGAGTGCAGAACTGTTCCCCAGAAGTAAAAGAGTTTAGCTTTATTTTTCATTTAGCACATGAGTCTGAAATAGGGGTTTAACCTTTAAATAGAACTAATAGTTTTCAGACTGAACATAATTGTAATTAATAAAATTACCATCATATATGAAAAGTCTAGATTAAGGAAAGAATGCTAAGAAGTGGCCAGAAGTAAACTCAATATGTATTTAATGCCAAAAGAAAAGAAAATTTCTCAAATACTATGTATTCTTTCTGTGTTTAGTATTTTATATTCTTGAGTTGCTCATCTGTCACTTCCATGCACACTATGAAATGATGTTAGATAGAAGACAAAAAACTCCTTTATATAAAGGATGTGTTGTCTTGAACTTTTAGATAAAAGCAAAGGCTGCAAATCCAGGAAGGCTTGCAAGTTTTGTTTTCTGTTTTCTCTTTTTCTGCTTTGTCATACTTTTCTGCTGATTCACCTACAGTGCACATTTGAAAATACTAAAAGCATGGCATAATGCTTACCTTCTATTACTGTAAGGATTTAATAGAGCTGTAATGATTGCTTTAAGCAAACACAAAAGAAAAACTGAACAGGAATTGTAGCTGCATACTTTGTAGTTAGTCCGATAAATTACAAATTACAGCTTTTCCTTTGGAAAACATGAATCATTAAGCAAAAAATATCTGAAAACATGGATCAGGAAGCGAAAAATATCCTTTGCATGTGCTTTTTTCATGATGAATTAGTACATGATGAAACCCATCCTACAGGACATTATGAAACAGTGCATGTGATCTTTCTAATTTTTTTTTGGCAGTTGGTTATGCTAAATGGAAGCGTAGATGTGAAAGGTGCAGTTCTCTTTGGAGCTAATGTGGATGCATTCATTTGTGAGTGAATCTGAGGTTGGTTTGCAGGACTCTGTCAATGCTTTGACATACATCTCTTTCCATTCTTTTCCTTCCTCTTATAGCAGTCTTAGCTGTGGCAGTAGCTTACTTCATTTAGAGTATGTAAACTGCTCTTATGGATTTGTAGTATATCCTTAGAGTGAAAAAAATCCATATTTTTTCTCCCCTCAACAGAATCCGAACACCTTGCCCTTTTCCTATTCCTATTCCTGTGTTTATTTCCTCTAATTTCTTTTTCCTGTCTCACTAAGGTGTGATTTTTTTTTCCTGTAGTTGCTTAAGATGCTTATTGTTGGGTATGTGTCTCTGAATAACCAGGTGCAGGAGCAATTTTTATTTCCAGTCTGGATGATGACTTTGGGAATCTAGGTGATCCATCATGTCAAATTAATCAGTTGTGTTTGTCAATTTCATCTTGTATTCAATTGCAAATTTCAAGGTATTTTTAGAGATTACTAGGACTCCATAGATACGTGATATTTGCTCATACCAAGTTATTTTAAACTTTTGGATGAGTGCCAGTGCTCAGAAAAAGGTTTTAACATTAGCTTTGAGTCTAGAAAAAAAATCTTAGCACAATTCTATTTGTATTAATAGTAATCCAAGCTGATAGTAGATGCAGACAGCCAAAGCCTCTTAGGCTGAACACAGTAATTCTGATGTAGCAAAACCGTGGTGTACATCAAATGCATAAGAGAGATGATACTCTGATTGGAAGACATTTATGAGATGTGTTCATGAGTAGACCACATTTTCATTCAGAAGAATAGTGGTTATTCTGGTCCTTTGTCTTCAAAAGAAAAAAAATGCATGTCTTAGAAGGAAGCCTTAAATAACAGGTCAAAACTCAGCTGTGGTACTCTCCTTTTCCTTCATCTCCTGTCTCCAGAGGTGACTTTCCTGGGGTGCTGTGAAGTTTCACTTTCATGTGAAAAGGTAAATTGGTTCACTCTCAAATGAAAGTACATTTCAAATTAGCCTGTTTGGCAGTAGTGTTGGGGGAGGGAAGGTATGAGGGGCAGGGAAGGTCTTTTGTTTCATAAGTTCAGTCACAGTGCTTGTTAAGCAGGTAAACTTCAGAGCAATGTTTCTTTGCTAGTTTGCAGCTTTTAAAATGTGGCTCTAAATTTTTTTTAATGTTGAAAAAGTATCCAAGAAGGAAAGGACTCGCAGCTCAGCCCCAGTTTCTTTACTGTAAAGCAAAAGTAATCTGAAGTATATGTTGGCATTTTAAGGTAAGGGGAGGGAGGAAGGAAACAGGCAGGCAATGAAGGAAGGGAAGGGTTGGAGGAAGGAAGGGAGGAAAGGGAAGGGAGGAAAGGAAGGAAGTTAGTTCCTGGTTTGGTACTTTAACTTAGTTAATTTACCAGGTTACAGTTTGGAGGGCAGCAGACCCTGAGAACCCTTTCAGGTCTTGATAACATGCCATTACAATACTTAAAATGAAATACAATCTCCCGTTTCCAATCTGTGATTTCCCCCCAAAAATCTCAAAACCAGTATTTTAGGGAGCAGTACAAGTGTATTAATGAATAAGCAATGTGCAGAAACACAGCAGAAAGCCATGTTTAAGGTATTTGGTGATGTTACTTCTTCACCTGAAGCTGGTTTAAAGGCCCCTCTTTTGAAATGGGAGAATAAATATTCCATAGCTACATGTCCATTTGGAGTCTGGAGTAGCATGTTATTGTTTTTGCCATTATTGCTTTCAAATATACTAATATTATTTTGTACTCTTTGATAAACAGCTTTGGGTTGACCAGAGAATAACTCCTAGAACTGAGATGTTTTTGCAGTTACAAAAGGAGCTAAGGAGCATCTCATGAAAATTACCACCTTGCTGAAATGCCATGGATGTAATCTGCTGTTCACTTAGTCCTTCTTATTCAAAAAGCCAGATCTGAATTTTTGTGGTAGGCGAATTTGGTGTTTTCTCTGACAAGCTGAATAAAAAGCCAGTCCAGGTAAGCAGAGTATTCCTTGGCTGTGAAGTCAGGTCCTGCCCTAACAAGGAGAATGACTTGTGTAATGCCACGCTTGTGGCAGGAGAGGGAAGACAGGCCCGTAATGTGAGAGGAGCAGCAGTTTATCTGTGGGAATCAAAACACCAAGGCAGTGTTTACAGTTTGCTGCCTCCAGTCCTTTCCTCCCTCACTGCTGAGTGGATGTTAAAGCCCACCTAACAATGGGGCCAGCATGGTTTGTGTAACCTTGACTGGGAATGCCTTCTCTACACAAACTTCTGGGCCAGAACTTGTGCATCCTGGTGAATTGACATGAGAGAAGGGGACTTCTCTCCTTTGCTGTAGTGCATCTGGGATTCAGCTGGATATGTCATGGACAGAATTAAGGTTTTTGCTGTTTAGTGTGTGGTAAGGGATCGTGTTCCAAAACACTTCAGAGCTGGGAAGCAGAATAGAAAAAATTGGCAAGGGAGTTGGGGCCACCCATGTCTGGTGGAGCAGGAAATCAGTTTCCTGTATGCTATTTCCCACTCACATTGCCCCCTTCGCCCTTAAAACTGCCTGAAAGATGGGGGTGGAGTCCCAGCAATGCCTGCACTGAATTGCATGCAGGAACAATCAAGGAGCACAGTGTGGTTTTTAGTGCTACGTAGTAGTGTTTCCAGATGATGATGAAGTTGCAGCCTAATTAAACCACAGTCCTTCTGTCAGTATGTGGTTGGGACGACTGAGATTAGCTCTTGGTCTTATTCAAATTCTACTATAATTTGACAGGTGTGTTATGTGCATGCCTGAATCAGTGAAAAGTAAAGGGAAACACCAAACTACCAATGAAAAGGAGTTGAAATAATGAACACTATTTCCATTGATTGTGTTTTGAACTTCACAAGTGGTTCTGGGATGTAATGAACTATAAATGTGTATTGAAACCCCCTATATGATACTCACAAAGGAAGCTTTTTTGTGAAATCCGTAGTGAAAACTGAGAAAAAAAGCACTATTGGTAATGTAAAAACTTTTATTTGGGGGGTATCTAAGCTAAACAGATCTGTTACTTTCCTTAACATTTTATAATTAAGGTATGAATTTAAGTTGCTCTTAGTTGCAGGATTGCCTTCACTCTGAACATTATTAGCTTTTCTGTTTTAAAAGAGCAATTTTTATATTTGTATTTAATGATAGGAACTATAGAAACTCATGGTATATTTTCAGTTGTGCTGTTTGCATTATAATACTCATGAAGCTAATATTTTTAAAACTTCTGACTAGTTACTGCTTTTCAATATGTTGCATCTGTTAATACCTGCATTTTAGTAGCTTTGTAGTTATCTCAGTGGGATACTCCAAGTCTGGAGTGTGTGCTTGTGGAGAGTATGGCAAGAGTGGACTGTATACACATTGCTTCTAAATGTCCCATGCATTAATTGTAATATCTGAATTACTTTTAGCTGTAATAATGCTGTAATTTTTTGCTGGCATTCTTTGGTATTGTAGTCAAACTACACAGTATAGTTTCATATCATGCCTGTAAAAATAATTTAACAGACTGAGTTAAAATTTATATGTGTAATCTCACATTCATTTAAAACTAATATGGCATATGTGTAATGTGCTACCTACTGAACTAATGTCAAAACAGTGTACATTAATAATTAATTCCCTACTATGGTTACTTGCTTTCATAATGACATTTTAAAAGTTTGGAATGTAAAGAAATACTTTTTCATTGGGTTTTTTTTTCCTCTTTAATAGGACACTACAAGTATAGAAAAAATGTCTAACTGTTGTGAAGACATGTAAGTTCTGTAAAATTCCTACATTGCTGAAATGCTAAGGGAGTAGCTGTTTGTTAAGTTGATTTTGCATGGTACTGTATTCTGTACTTCCTATCTGTAGCAGCACCTCACTAATCTTTTAATAATGGTTGTACACAAAATAGCTGCATGTTGTTCCCTTTCTTTCCCTACTCTAATCCAGTGGAACTATATTTTCTTTTCAAAAGTACAGATCAAAAGATACTTTCTATGGTGTTTTGACATACATTTCATTAATGTTGAGGTCTCCTGTGCTTCAAAAGGTGCCTTTGTTTGATTGATGACACAGATAGAAGTTTCTCTTCTCCAAAGTTAAGTCTCAGCTGTGTGACATAATGAAATAAAAGTTGTATTTGTGATGCTTGGACACAGTTCATCAGGGTCCAGTATTGGATGCCCAGCCAGCCTACATTGTTGTAGCTGACTGAAGTGCACCGTGGGCATGCTGTCTTTCACTAATAATGCTGTCTTCTGTAGATCGAGGCCCCGAAAGCCATGGCAGCAGACCTTCTCAGAAGTTTTTGGCACTCACTGGAAGATCCTGTGGTTTATTCCTTTCAGGCAGCGGCAGCCACTGCGAGTTCCCTACCACTTTGCCAATCATGTCTAAACAGATGGATGGTGGGCACAGATGGGTCCTCCATGCTGGAAGTGCATTACAGGTTTTATGATAATAGGACTATGACAGTCTTCAAGTCAATTAAAATCCAGTCGTAGGCATCACAGTGTGCCCTGGGCATTATTTTAGTTATGGTCTTGATTTTATTCTGAAATTGAGGCAAGTTAAACAATCAACTTCAGGCTTATTTACTTTCAAACTAGCTTTCCAAAGAGTTTCCTTTTGTCTTCGAAGTTAATACCAAAAGCAAACAATTGGAATGTAGTCTTCATGCAGTTTAATACTGGCTCTTCTTTTTTTCTTCCCTTTTTTTTTCCTTTTTTTTTTTTTTTTCTTTTTCGTTCTATTTTATTTTTTGTGTAGAAAGCACTGAAGTTTACATAGATGGTTAGATTTCTCACTAAGTGTCTTATTGTGCCATGAAATTTTTTCGGGGGTTTTTATCAGTAGGTCTATCTGGATAATAATAATAATGTCTTTTTTTTCTGCTGCATATGTTTAAAATTCCGTGATTCTGCCAGTTATTTATGATATGCAAAAGTAATCCTGCAGCACTGCACTATAAAAGGTAACATTGAAAGCTGGAGCAGAGTACTTCCTAAACCTTTCTCAGAGAGGTTCTGTAGAGACACACAAATGTGTGTGTTTACATAGAGAACAGCTTACAGTTATCTTCTGGCTTAAATATGATGTTAGTGAAAAGTGTTCATGTCTTTATGTCAGTGAGAGGGATTAAATATTTCAGGGTAAACTATGCAGATACAAAGCATGTTTTCCCTAAATCCCAAGGATTTGAATCAGCAATAATCAACAAAGTAGTTGCATGATTACTTTGCAATAATAATTTACTAATTAGAATGATTACTTTTGAAAAATATAGATGTAGTTAGTATAATGTGTCATAAAGAAGAGTATATTGTCAATAAAGTTAAAAATTTTATATTTAATTTTCTTTAGTCTTGATTGACTGGAATTGGTCTGTTTGTATATTTGAAATAAAAGTAATTAAAATATTTATACATAAATATAGATTTGCTATTAACATGAACAATGAAGTGTATAAACATATTTAATAGGGTACTATGTTGATAGCTTGTTTTCCCTTTTAAGTGTGGAAGTTGTTAACCAAAGAAAGCGTCTTTTAGATCTGGTAAAATGATAATTATTTCCAAAGTACCAGCTGAGTCTTCCTGTATCTGAAGAAGTTTTGTATTTCCTTTAGCCCTCTCTATCTGTACAAATATTAACTTCAGATGATTGTGAAAACTACTGTGGATTTCTAGGAGAAATTCACAGCTCCGAGTTTCCAGCTTACTGTGTTTTTTGAATGGTCTAACAGGACTAGGATTCCCCCTTAAATAACAGCCGTGCAGCAGGACACAATAAAAGACACAAAGTCAGGATTTTACACATGTAGGTTGTGCATAAAGTAATAGTTACTTCAAAAAAACAAGGTGTCATGGATTGATTTTGGTATAGTGTTAGTGTTTTTATGAAAGGTGTATCTTTTAAAATGGTTGCTGTGAGATGTGACTCGGGAACAGAACAAAGTAGGCTCTAACTTGGGAATGGAGGGAAAAGGCAACACTTTATTAATTTACACAGACACAAAAAGGGGAAAACTACACACACACAACAATTTACAATAGAACACTTTTGAAACACTCTTCCTCCTCCCCCCAGTCCCTTAATATTCAAATCCCCTCTAACACATTAATTCTCACTCGAATACCGTCCTTTCACACAAGCACCCCCCAGTCCATCAGGAGAGAGGAGCCTCCCTCCTGCACTATGGGCCTTCCCAGGAAACACAGTAGAACTTCTGTGCTTCCATGTCACACACGGCAGCTGCTCGAAGAGAGATTTGCTATGGTGACCATTTTTTTTCTATGTTTTCTCTCACTACTGTCTATGGATTTAAACTACTCTTTGGGTTTTTTTTTAAGAATGCTTTTTGCTTAGTTTTAAGATGTGGCCGCCTCTTACTATTTGGGACACCTGTGCCCTCCATATTCACTTTTCTGGGGCTTGGGGCTCAGGAACGGAGATTTTTCGCTGAAGGTTGAGGGTTCCACCACATCCTCTTTCTCAGTCTCTGTTTTTTTGGCTTTTTTTTTGCGGCTTTATCATTCTTGGTGTCTGGCCAGCCGCTTCTCCCAAGGTGCAGTCTCTGCATTAACGGAAGAACCTGGCTTCGCCTGTGGCTATGTTAGAGGAAAAGTTTGGTTTAAAGCTACTCTAATTATCTCTTCTATTTTGGGTGCTTTATTTGCTGGCATTTCTTTACTTACTCAAACTTTTTCATCTTTTCCCTCCTCTATCTTTTCTCAATTTTTAGCTGAGGAGGATCAGTGTTTTTACAGCTTCTATTGTTTCAACATTAAAAGGGTTAAAAGCACAGCTTGTCCTGGCAGCGGCTGGGCACCTTGCCCACCCTTTCTCTTCCCGACCGCTTTATCTTTCTTTTTGGGGGGCTGCCTAAACTATCTCAGGAACTCCTCTACCCCTGCATTTGGCAAGCGGCTCCGGCTTTTTTTCTCTCAGGCTGCATGGGCCCCCACCCCTTCCACTCAGACACAGCTGGGGGGGGGAGAGGTCTGATCTGCTCACCTGCTGGACTCTAAAGAGGAAGTCTCTCTGGGAGTGCTCTGCTTTTAACCCCTGTGTGCTCTCAGAGGCGTATCCGAGTCCCCAGTGGCCACACCAGGTGCCAATCTGAAATTTGGCTACTGATTGGTTTGACTATAACTTCTCAAAACCTTACTTCCGGGTCAAACCATGACACAAGGGTAAGATTTTTCATGACTGCTGTTTGCAAAAAATTTTTAGATCAACTTTCTTAAAATCTTAGTACAGTTAGTGCCAGTGTTAGGTGTCCCTTTATTGAATTAACAGATTTTGATCTGCTGAAAGTTCCAAAAATTGCATCTTAAAAATCACTTGAACTTTTAACTTTTGTAAACGTCTAACATTTGATTCAACTTTACTTTTCTTGTCCTATTAAAAATAGATGCAGTGTTTTGTTAATTTAAATTTCACGCCTAAAGTTCAGCTATTTTCCTTTTCTTTTTTTTCTCATGCCTCATATAGTGAGATTAGACTTTCTTTCAAGTGGTATTGGCATATTGGCAGCAATACTTAAGCAAAAAGAAGCTTGAGGAAATTGGTGAAAAGACTGAAGCAGTGCTTGAAATTGAAAGGAATCCATACATAATAAAGCAATGGCTCTATTATTTTCTTTTCCTTCCCCCCAGTATTTTGGTCTCTGGAATATACAGGGAAATAATATTTCATTTTCCATGCCAATATTTAAATGTTTCATGAGCAAAACATTGTTTGAAGTTTTTCATGCTAATCAGTTTTCAGAGCAGATTGTACAGTTCTGAACCTTATTCAGAAAGAGAACCAAGAATTTAACTATTTTTGGTATGTTTATCATGGGGCATATAATTGTATGTTTGCTTCCCAGTATTGCTGTTTCAGGCTGGAGTATTAGTTGTACCTTCCAGCAAGCGATGAGCGTGAAAATCTTGCCTGATTCTCAAACAAAAGTCCTAATTCCACAAATTCATGTTCTCAGATGTTTCCATGTTGTTTGATTTCTTTTTAAATCTACTTTTTCTCGGTCTCCTGCTCATCATAACTAATAGTATTCATCATAATTGATGATACCATAATTGATAGGCATCAATTGGCAACATGATTAAGACTGCTAGTTCATTTTTGTCCCTTTTCTAAGTATTTGGGGAACAAAGGGGAGAATTCGGAGAGTCTTGACATTTTAGAAGGTACTAAACTTTACTCTTTGAATAAGAGGCATCTAAAATGGTAAAAGTAATAATTTTTTTTTCTTAATTCAGTTGAAGGACCCTATCATGTTATTCGTTTCTTCAAGTAATGTTTCTGAAACTAGTTTCCAGAATGAGTTGTTCCATCAGGAAAAATCAGACTTTTATCAAGCAATTTTAAAATCCTCGAGACCTTGAAATTCTTGAATCCTTTGAACCATTGCTTTCTTTCCCTCCTTAGAGAAAGAAAATCTTCCTTAGGATTCTTTCTTTTAGTAGAAACTGCATTTTTAAGGTTGATTAGTGTTTGTCATTTTTATGCATTTAAAAAAAATCTTACAGACAGTGTTACTATGCTTCATCCTAATATGATATCAGAACAACATGTACTTTATTGAGAAAAGTGAATATTATCTTCTGACTTGACAATATTTGATTTTCTGAAAGGCAACTTGAAGAGAACTTGAAGAACCAATGAACTCCTCCCTGAAAAAATTTGAAAGTAGCTGGTTTATTTGTAGTGTGGGATAACTTCTGGTAGGACCAAAAAATGTTAACTTGCTGTCTTCTCATAGTCAGAGATTTGAGATGCCATTTGAAGAATGCTGATGTCTAAAATAAAATATAATGTCTTAAATAATATCTGTGAATCTGTCCTCTGGTCTGTGGCTTTGAAGGAGAGGTTTCATCACACAGCTGGTCTAGTAGTTCAAGGACACAATAATTTTCAGTCTTGAGGAGAAGTTATGAGGCTTGAATTTTCATATACATGGAATTTTAAGAATAGATTTTCTATGCATTTTCTTTATTAATATACTTAACTTTTAAAATATGTTCTGAGCTGTCCTTCAGATATTCCTGATAATTATTTTGATTAATTGGTTTATAAATACATGGTTAATAAAACACCAAGTGGAATGTCATGTATCTTGGTTTAACATCAGCCAGCAATTAAGTACCACAGAGCCACTCAGTCGTTTCCCCCCCAGCAGGATGAGGGGAAGAATTGGAAGAGTAAAAATGTGAAACTCTTGGGTTAAGATAAAGACAATCTATAGGTTTAATAGCCAAAAAAAAAAAAAGAAAAAAAAAAGCCATACAAGCAAGCAAAGCAAAATAAAGAATTAATTTACTGCTTCCCATGGTCAGACAGGTGTTCAGCCAGCTGTGGGAAAGCAGGGCTGCACTGCACGTGACAGTGGCTGGGGAAGACAAACCGTCAATCCAAACATTCATGTGTTCCTCCTTCCCCCCGCTCTGTTTGATGAGCATGACACCATGTGCTGTGGAATATCGCTGGAGTCAGTGGGGTCAACTGTCCCCTCCCAACTCCTTGTGCACCCCCAGCCTCCTTGATGGCTAAGGAGCAAAAAAGGCCCTGTCACTGTGTTTCCTTCTGGCTCAGCTGTAAGGAAAGCATTCCTGTGCTATCAACACTCTTCCCAGCACAAATCCAAAACACAGCCCTGCATTAGCTACCCTGAAGAAAATTATCTCATCCCAAACCAGCCGATCATGACAAATCACATTGTTGTTTGCATTCAGAATCCAGGATATTTCATTGTTCATGTTACCATGTTTACTTGATGAGAAGCTCCACATGACCTGGTAATGTGTGCTTTCAGCACAGCAAACCACCCGTTCCCTGCACTGCATCATAGGAGGTGCAGCGAAGAGGTTGAGGGAGGTAATTTTCTCCCACTGAGGAGTTAATCTAATTCTAAATTTGAAGTGACCTGTTCTAAGTTAATTGAAGTATTAGAATCTCAAAAGTAACAGTGTGATGCTGAATGGTGCTAGGAACTGCTTTTGGGAAGAACAGGTACTTCTCAATACACTGTCCATACTTAGGTATCATACTACATGACTGGATACTTCAGAAAACATTCCTCAGAAGATTTTTGTACTACTTTCTCAGTGGCTGAGTATTTGTCCTTAGGAGGCGTTGAAATACTTGTATCTGTGGACTGCATAAGGCCAGGGATTTCAGTTCTGCTGAAATTATCCAGTGGCATGTTGTGTCTTGGCCAGGCTGTGGCAGAGTGGTTAAAGCCTCTTGTAGCAATAAGGGCCATCTAAGTATCAACTGTATAACTGTAAGAATAACTTATATTTACACAGGTTTTCAAGTTAGAAAATAGAAACTTCTAATTTCTGTGCACTTCTGG